GGCCCGTGAGTACGGCAAGCGGGGTAGATTGAAACCGATACTAACCCCTTTGGGCATCCTGGGAGAATCACGTGCCGGTTTCAAAACTGGGTCAACCCTGGGATCATTTCAAAACTTACAGGGTATTGAAGACACTTTATTTATAGTTTTGAAACCACTTTAAAACACCCTTAAAACTGTTTCAAAACCAGCTGGTTCCTGGGCCTGGATTGCCAAACCAAACTTGCATAAACTTGTGTGTGATTCAAACTGATCTGACTGAGCATCTAAAGGTTGTTTAAGTCCCAATTAGCTTTTGAGGGTATTCCACATAAGGTAAAAGTATAGGAAGAGAATCCTTCAAGTTTGTTCTCTTGATTTTTGAAGATTTGTAGCTCACCTAGTGGTAAATACTAGTTCAAATCCACCCTTTAATATATAGTTGAAATCACTTTAGTAATCAGTGAAGAAAGAGACTTGCAGCATGTCTTCAAAAACAAGTTCCCAAAATAGTATGATCATAGTTATCTTTGAATTAGAAGGGAAACATGTGGTTAGCTGGTTGAATCCCAGTTTCTGACTATAAGTTCCAGTTGAACTAGATCCAATAATATATAAATTATCTTTGAATTGGAGCTTGAGAGTACCAGTTCATACTCCCCTACTGTAAAATATTAGCTATTATAGTGTTTCAAGAATTGTATGAGGCAGCTAAGAAAGCTGTCTTGTGATACTTGAGTCATAAGATATGATAACTGTAGGCCAAAGTGAAATATAAGAGACACTTGGTATGGAAGCAAGCGAAATGTGGGTTAAGAGCACTATTGAATACCTTCCTAACCATACTTGGTTCATTGTAAACAGATAACAACTTGATATGGTATAAGGGGAAAAAATGAAGCCACTTATCACTAAAGCATACAGTTCCAGACAGTAGGAAGCAAAATATCATTTCACTCAGATAGACAAACAGACAAGTATAGTACAAGTAAGACTTTATATTCAATAAGACTATAGAAGAGCACTGATCATTATATTTAAGAGATTTTCAAAGTGGCTTTCTAATGATATATAAATCATTCTAACCACTAGCACTGTTTAGAGAGAACCTGGTTGCCCAAATACTAGGTGATAGAGAATTTGAATAGCTTTCTGACGGTATATAAATCATCCCAAACGGACCGGAATTGGCCAAGTTATGAGCCTAACATTATTTTAAAACTGCAAAAAAGTCAAGTTCAACTGGGGGGTTGAACCGGCCCTAAAGTGGACTTCCGCGGATTTCCACTCAAAAGACACTCGTGATTTTTCAAACTTTAGCATTTTCTGGACTAACCATTAAGAATTAAGCTCAGGTCCAAACTGAACCAAGTCATGAATTTGTGATATCTATAACTTTCATCATTTGAGACCGGCCCTAAAGTGGAATTCCGCGGACTTCCACCTGGCAGTTAAACCAAGCCCCCAAGCTTGACTCAAAACGGCCATTCCGCGGATTTCCACCTGGCAGTTAGTTGAGTCAAGTTCAACTTGAGGGTTGAACCGGCCCTAAAGTGGAGTCCGCGGAATTCCACCCTAAAAGACACTCGTGATTTTTCACTTTTCTGTGTTTTATGGGCTAACCATTCACATTTAGGCTTAAGGCCAAACTGAACCTAGTGTTCAATTTTGAATATCTACAACTTTCATTAATTGAGCCGGCCCTAAAGTGGAGTCCGCGGATTTCCACCCTAAAAGACACTCGTGATTTTTCACTCTTTGTCAATTTATGAGCCAACCATTAACATTGAGCCTTAGGTCAAAGCTGAACCTAGTGTTCATTTTGTGATATCTACAAGCTGACAAAGTATGGAGTCATTCTGCCAGCCCTAAAGTGTTGGCAGTTCCAAGTCTTAGTTCAATTAACAATCAGGCTTAGGGCTCAGTGGTCAATCATAACTTGGCAAAGTTGCTGGCCCTAAAGTCCTGGCAGTTAATTACTTTAGGGCCAGTCTTATATATTTTATATACTAAGTCATTTATTGAGCCGGCCCTAGAGTCTATATTATTTATATATATAAGTCATTTATGGGGCCGGCCCTAAAGCGGGAAAAAAAAAAGAAAAAAATACCCATAGTACAGAAAGAGAAGCCAACATGAGTTGTGAATGCAGGAAGAGTACAATCAACCAGATGATCCACTTGAAGCAGAAGACTTTTGTTATTCTGACTTTTTTAGCAGTTTTACTGAGTTGCCAATCAGGTGTAGTGGCTGTATGGGAGTTCACTACTCTCCCAACAGCTTAGTGGCAGTCTTAAGGAAGACTGCCAGACCAGAGAAAATGCCACAACCAAAAAGACAGTTACTAGCAAACCACTGACAAACACACTATGACCAACAGGTTGAGCTCAGCTCGGAAGGTGTTGAACCAACCTCGCTACCCGCAGGCTTACCATAGCATATCCTATCTCCGCCAATTTAATGAAGCACAGACCAGACTGATCCACTTTCACTGTCTCCCCCCAGAACCCACAATAGGAAGAGCAGGGTCATTGAAGCCAAGCTACTCTTCCATATATAAGGCAGGCCCACCCCCCAGCCCACCCCAAGTCCAAATCGCGCAGAGGCGTGAAAAGCGCTGTCCACAATTTTGCGCACACGGAGTCCGCCCCAAGTCCGCACATACAGGTCGTGTGGGTTCAACTCGGGCACAACACAAATATTATTTCTTTTTTTTACACAACAATATATAAGGGAGAGTCTATCACAAAAGAACAAAGAGGAGCAATGTGCAACGCGCCAGTGCCCGCCGTACATTGTCATTCTTTGTCTCGTTTTCGTCGTGGACTCACGAGGCAGTGTCCTACAATAAGGCCTCCCGGGACCGAGTCCTCCCCAATTCTAAACATCACTCGACCACGCTATGGCACTCCTTCACCTCCCTGTCGAGCTCCTGCACACCATCTGCACCTATTTCGAGCACGACCTTCTCGCGCTGGGCGCGACGAACAAGGCGTTCAAGGCGCTCATCGACGGGTCCCCGCGGCTGCACTACTACCAGCACCTCGCGCGCTTCGGCCTTGCGGAGCAGCTGCCTCGGGCCGGGCCGGTCCCGACGCTTTCCCAGCGGCAGGAGATGCTTTTCGCGCAACAGCGCCGGTGGCTCAATCTGCAGCCGACTTCGGTGTTAGCGTCGGGGCCGGAGGAGAGCGGGCCGGTGCGCGCGGCACGGACATGGCTGGAGCTGCGTAGCGGGCGGACGAACTGGGCCGCGACATATGCGTGCGAGGCGGACGACTTGTTCATTGGGCTGCAATAGTACGTGATTTCCTTGGTTAAACCACCAGACTAACGGCCTGTGCTTAGTGTGGGCGTGGACAGCGACACCGACGTGGAAATGATCGCGGCGGAGCTGTACGTCTTCCAGTTGTCCACTGGGCTGCCTCACCCGGCCCGGGCCACGGGGACGACTACGCAGCTCGCGCTGTACGATGCTGCGACGACGAACATAGCAGAGATGAACATGTGCGGCGCCATCCAGCGGTCGCCAACTGGTGACCTCCTTGCTGTCGTCGTCGCCCTTGCGGGTCCGGGCGGCTCGGTGCCCGTTGCTGACGACGTTGATTACCCAGTTGAGCACGTGCTCGTGCTGGTCAACTGGAAGACGGGGCGGCTCGTGGCGGAGCACGTGCCATGCTCCTCTCCCGCGGTCGCATTCCTCCGGGCGGACCTGCTGCTCACGGCGAACGGCCCGGAGAACCAGCTCGAAGTGTGGCAGCTGCCAACAGAAAACAGCGACCTCATGCTCGTCGCGGCCCTGGAGCTCCCTGCGCTGTTCGATGGCCTCCTCGCGCACACGTTCAGCTGCCGCCCCACCATGACCTCCGGCGATCCATTCGGCACCCCTTCGTCATCGGTGCACGTGCAGTTTGCGCCGACGCCCCGCGATTCCCTGCTGTACATCACTTACCTCGTGACCTCGGGAATCGCTGACGTGGACGACTACAAGCAGGCGTTTTTCGTCCGCCCACGCGCGCTGTTGGCGATGATCGACCCTCTCGACCACGACGGCTATCGGTACCCCGTGGAGGACTGGCTTCCGAGTTGTGCGCGCTGGGTCGACCCGCTTCCCTGCCCTGCCCCGTTCCCACGGTATCAGGACCTGCCCCCGCTCACCGACTCTGGCACCCGCCTCCCGGGCCTCCGCGCGCCGGCCGTGCCGGGCGGGCCGGTGCTGCTCACAATCATCGACACGAGCGCATGGACGGTCGAGCTCGTGAAGCGGGCAGCGCGGGCGGACCCGACCGGTGGCAAGGACGCCGTGTGGCGCAAGCTCGGGATCCGGCCCGGCCTGAGGGCAGATGGCACACTACGCACGGAGAGCGGCGCGGTGCTACGGCTTGTACTGCCGTCCACCGCAGAGACCCCGGTCACGCTTGCCAGCGGGCCAGACGCGTTCCGCGGGTTTATCGGGTACGATGTCGGCCCGGACCCCGACAACCCCAACGACGGCGGCGCGTACATGGTGATGGAACCGCCCCCGCCGCAGACGCAGTCCGCGCTTGCGTATGTAGAGATCACGGCGCCGGCGTACCACTGTGATTTCATGTATGTGAACAGCGCGTGCATTGTTGCAGGTGACTCCGGGTCGGACGCAGTGTTGTATTTCGGCGCTGCGGCTTAGAGTAGTGTCGATAAGGGTAGTCTCGCAAACTTGAAATCTTACAAGAATTCTTAAGTTGACTACAGCTTGAACACTGTTAAACTGGCCCATGAACAACTGATAAGAAGGAAAGTTAGACGACGATTGATAGGTGTCGTAAACCCCACAGCACCCTCATCTGGTCAGCTTCAGCCGTGGCCTCGATACAAATTGAACAATCACGACTGGTTGACCCAAGACGAAATGTGTAGTACACTGTGTACATGTATAAGAATTTGTAATTTTGGTAACATTTGAGCAAACTACTCCATTTGGTTGACCCTCGACTGATGAGGATACATCCCTGAGAAAATGACTGAATAAGAAGCTTGGTGGCTATTTACAAGCTCATCTCCGATCCAAGAATCTTGGAGAAATATTTCCCCACGCCCGCCACCGCCTCCTTTACGCTCCCACCCTCCACCGCGCCGACGACCCCATCAGGACGCACAACTACCAGTGCCGTCTCGCCCTCTGCAATGCCATAGGTGGCGTATGCATGGCCCCGTGTGTCCTGGAGCACCACATCTGCGCGGCCGACCTTCTCAAGCGCGACGCCTGTTGGAAGAATATGCACCACCTTGGTCGTCCCAGCCGGCAGGCGAAGCTCTCCAAGAGCATCGGCGCTGACAAGAGCGTCACCGAACAGCAAGATGGTATGCTTGCTCAGGTCAAACACCGCAAACAAGCTTGTCTCCTTCTCGCCCTCGCCTGCCAGTCCCGGCGCTTCCGGTGCGCGGTAGCCTGGCAGCGCGCCGATGTCCGTCAGACTCGCCGTATACGCCGGGGCCAGGCCTTTGTCCGCATCATCGTTTTCCGCAATGATTGAGCTCCCGCAATAGTTGACACCCAGCATCGAGAGCTCCGCATGCTTACGGCGGCCGCCCGCAGTAGCGCTTTCCGCGGCGTCCGAATTAGGCTGCTGCCGCATCTACAAGGAAGTCAGTTCAATAGTTGAACGGAACGCGCCGAAGGCAGACACACCTTATGTGTGGTATTGTGCAGCAACGTGGTGAGCTTGAGCATCTGCGCAATGACACGGAGGCGCTCTTCGGCGTAAGTGTCGAGCAGCGAGTCCGGCGCAAGGTTCTTGATGACCAGCGCGAGCTTCCATGCGAGATTTGCAGAGTCTTGGACGCTGGAATTGAGGCCTTGGCCGCCAGCAGGGCTGTGACAGTGCGCTGCATCTATATAGGATATTAGAAAAGTAGATAACAAGCAACAGAAATAGCTTACCGCCCACAACAAACACTCGCCCAACGCGCATCTCGTCGACCATGCGGATGTTGGCGCGGTAATGCGAAAGCCACAAGGCGGATCCGAAGGAGATATCGGTGCGCTGTGTGATGTCATAGAAGATCTTGACAAACTCATCGCGCGTGAATGGGCCAGACAGCGGGCCGGAAGCGCCGGGCAGACACGCGAAGGTATACACATTAGAGGTGGGCGTGGTGCCGCGAAGGACTATCGTCTGTCGCGGGTCGGCCCACATGTGCCACAACTACAACAACAACAAATGAGGATGAGAAACAGAATAATGAGAGCCATAGACATACGCCGGGTGTAACCCCTTCGATCTCGATGTCACCGAGGAACATCTCCTGCTCCTCGTGTGTCTCACCGAGGAAGCTCAGTCCGAGGCCCTTGCGCACGACACTGTGAGCGCCGTCCGCCCCGACCAGCCACGCCACTTCTGCGGTTTCGTCGTCACCACCTGCGCGCTTCAGCGTCACGCGGACAAAGTCGGGCTGCTGCTCGAAGCTGGCCAACTCGACGCCGAGCTCGACAGTGCAGCCCAGTGCAGCAAGAGCCTCACGGAGCACGGCCTCGTGCGCGTCTTGTGGGATGTTCATCGTGTTGGGCTATAATATCAATGAATAAACAGCTTAAAACTGAAGGAGAAGCATCACATAGGGCATGGAGGGTGTCGCATCCACCAGCGGGGTCAAGCGGAACTCCTTCATCGGCGTGGTGTTCTCCTTGCCTGGCTTGTACAGTGCGATATTCGGTATGTCGCCGCCGCACGCAATGATCTTGTCGTACAGCCCGAGCTGCGCGTAGAGTTCGAGCGTGCGAGACTGCGGTTGTTGCTTAGAAGTGCGAGAAAACTGAGAGAAGCAGCGCACCTGGACGCCAGCCCCGCGGCTGCCAACGCGGTGGGTCTGCTCCTTGTCGATAATGCGCACGGAAATGCCACTGCGCAGTAAGAGAAGCGCAAGCACGAGGCCAGCGGGGCCCGCACCGGCCTGGAGAGTGGAGACCGTCAAACGTCGAGCAAGAAGGTTCAAGGGACGGTGAAAACGCACAATGAGCACAGTAAATTTGTTTGCAGTCGACATTGTTCTTCTTCAAGTTGCTGTTGGGATATAGCTTTCGATGGTTTGATGTCCCTCTGCACTCCAAAGGGCCTATATATACCCTCTCGTCTGCAGCCCAGCCCAGAAGTCGCTTCGCCTTCAGACACCCCCCGGGCCCGCTTGCCAGTGTCGATCCCAGGCGTATACGTACGACCTGGCATGCATGGCCGCAGCGACGCGTTGCCCATCCACGCCCGCCCAGTGGCCAGCCAGCAGAACCATCACGGCAGGAGGCAGGCCGTGATGACGTGGTGCGCAGCCATCAGCATCACGCTCGCACGCAATGCGGACATCACCCATTTTGGGTAATGGACAGTGTAAGATGGCTTACGCTGCGGCACGGCGCACCCCAGATTTGCGGTTCATTTCTGGCAGACATCGAGCAGAAAAGAGGCGATAATTCAACAGCGACATGCGACTACGCATGGAGAGTGTGTAGGCATGTAAATCAGCTTACGGTGCGGCACGGGCCACATGACTCTGGAACAACCCTTCTGATTGTGTTCCGATTTAAATTTTAGCAGAAGGCACATTGAACAGATTAAGAGATGATAGTTTATGTTGCTTGTCGAAGCCCATGACTAGTAACTACACTATGACGACAAGTTTGCTTGCCCAGCAGCGTTGAACTATGCACTAGTAGTTGGTGTTGAAGTTCTGATGGTCACAGTGTGACTCGCCGGAATGTTCTGGCACTTTCCACTTTCTGCTGACTGATATTTTTCCTGATTGCCTGAGAATATACTAGAAGAATGTATAACTAGTATATAAACAGAATAGATAGTCAGCGTAGGGCATCGTTTGCCCTAACGCACAGATCCCTCACAGGAGTGTGATTGCAAACTGATTGCGCTCACTTTGATCCCATCGCTCTCCGGATCACTCGGAATTTCAACACAAAGGATCACGGTACACGGCACCGTTAACCCGCCCAGCATCGCGCCTCTGCCCGCGCATGCGTTGGCCGCTGTCCGACCTCACCGTCGACCGCTATCCCTTGGCCATGCCCATCGGCTCCACGCGCCGAAGCCCTGTCACTGCGCGCTTCTTCGCTTGGCGTTCCCACGCGCTCCCACGACCTCTCGGATTCATCGACGCCGCGCCGAGCCCGTTCCCCGCTTGAGGCCGCCGCCCTCTGCCTCTCGCAACTGGCTGCCGCCACTCTTGTGTTCTCAGGCCGGCAACCACGCTACCCCCATCGCTATGATGCGATCGAACTGTCGGCATTGACGCCGCCGGCGTGCTGGACTCTTCTCGTTGATAGCACCACTCCGGGACTTGGCAACCGCTGTCTCACCTTCGGTCTTCCGCTTGCAACCGGAGCATGGCCGGTCTCCCGCGAACTCGACGCGCTGCGCATTGCTCCCCGCTTCCGACCTGGCTCCCAACTCAGCCAGATCAACCCTCTGGGACCTGCTCTCTGTCCCACTGGCTACCCGCTCACGATCAGAGCGAGTGCCATGCTGCCCGCTGCTTATGCGCCATTTACCTGGCATTCCCGCGGCCTGTCAGCACCCGTCAGCCGTCCTCCCGCACTCATTACTGCTTCCACCGCGGAACGACGACGACGCTCTAAAAGATGAAAGCACCCATGGTCACTGGCACTTCCTTCATCGACTATACCCCCCACCTACCCTACAGCAACTCTAATCCTTCACCCACCTTCTTCCCACCCTGGATATTCACTCCCGAGTCCCGACGGCACCCATGTCCAAAACCCAAACAGTACTTTGACTGTGACGATCTGGACATGTAGGCCTCAGCAATCCGAGTGTGCTGACACTTGCGGATGAGGCGCGCGAGCCGGCGACGGACTGCCAAAGGGCTGCGTAATGGTGTACTACATGATGCCAGAGGTATCTATGGACGGCAATCAGTTGATGGGGGAGCACGGACGGAATGGGGGAGCGGCTCGTCATGGGGGAGTGTTGAAGTTCTGATGGTCACAGTGTGACTCGCCGGAATGTTCTGGCACTTTCCACTTTCTGCTGACTGATATTTTTCCTGATTGCCTGAGAATATACTAGAAGAATGTATAACTAGTATATAAACAGAATAGATAGTCAGCGTAGGGCATCGTTTGCCCTAACGCACAGATCCCTCACAGGAGTGTGATTGCAAACTGATTGCGCTCACTTTGATCCCATCGCTCTCCGGATCACTCGGAATTTCAACAGTTGGACTGTTGGTAAGGGGGGGGTCAAGTTTGAAATTGTGCATATACAGTAGGGCTCAAAAGTTTTTGCCAACCTCTCTCAGCCTCTCTGCCATGTTGGGCAATACTTATGTTTCTGCAATTAGCATCATGTTAACTGAACACAATACTGTACTATTTCATTCAATTCTGCGGGCCTGTGACCTGTGACATGTGTGGCAGAAATGTGCAATTCAGCCAAGGGCTGAATTTGGTGTGACCTCATGCCTTATATGGAAGTTCTGCGCGCCGTAGGCGCGGAATTTTTTGGAAATTACCTTTTAGGAAGGTTTGGGACCAAGGAAATTTGCCGTGACCTGTGACAGGCAGAAAATTTTCGGCCAAAAAAGTCAATGTGACCGTGACAGGACTAATTGATTGAAATAGTACAGTATTTGATTGCATTTTGTATAAACTTCCAAAGTTTCATTGCAATTATTCGTGGGAAACAGATACCTGTATCCGTGAATGTCAAACCTGTGGATGTTTCCTTGCAGGTACCTATGCAAACATCTGCGGGTATTGACACTTGTGTTGTTCCAGGCCCATCAGCCTCTCCCAAGGGACCTGCAGATCAGCAAGCCAAGACGTCATGTCCCACTTGTGATCCCTATAAGTATAGGGTAGGGTGGGTCCCCAAGTGAAAATTTTACTTTTGGGGCTCATGTCAGGGAGTGTTCAGGGATGTCCAGGAGGACCATAACTGCACTTTTATCTGTTTGTAGCCTGTATCATCTCTGCTGTGTGGGTCTTTCAGAGACACCAAGCACAAAATGGTTCTGCAATGAGCAATGTAGTGATGGCCAAGTCCAGTTTGGTCTGGTTCTTGGTCCATTCTGGCCAAATGCCGGACAGCCAGTTTAGTTCAAAACCTAGATTCGGTGAACCTGAAGACTGGCCATCAGTAGGACAATGTTGTGCAAACACCAATGGGCACAGTTGCAAGAAAGGGAAACACTAAGTTTCAATTTGTGGAAATTTGTGCTAATTTAACTATATTTGTCATTCCATTTTTAGGTCTCTCCAAGGCTACTAAGAGGAGCACTGGGTGGACGACAAACAATTTCCTTTTAGGGAAATCATGTGGCCTAGTCATGCTTATGTAAATAGGGTAGAGAGGGTCCGCCAGTGCTTAATTCACAGTTTTTGACCCAATTCTTTGTTTGGGTGGTACTCTCGGCCCCTCTATGTAGGCCATGATGTTCGCTCATCTTGGATCTGAGTGTTTCCATTCAAACAGCTAAAAATTCCTCAGACAAATTCAGACCCTTTGACTATGATTTTCAGTTCTGATTTCACTTGGGCTTTTGTTTGTTTACTTATATCCTTTAGGTGTTGAGTTTGTTTCCAAAATCCGTGTGGCCATCATACTAGGCTCTAAATCTTTTCGTGGTATTTGTCGACAACTCAAATAACACAGAAACATAAAACACTTTGGTAATCGGACAACATTCAGCAGTTTGTTCTCAAGTTTTTAAATATGTTTTGTGAATCTTTATCACCATATACATCCATTAAGGAGAAACATGTTCCCTTGTGCTGTGATATCTTTTTTCAGTCTAATATCAATATCAAAAATAAACTTTCTATTGATGATGGATGATATTGCCAAATCAAGAAAGATAAAATCCTATTCAGTGCTAAGAAGATGCAATTGAAAGTTTGTGGTGATAAAATATTATTTCTTAATTGATATCTAAGTGCTTCTATGGCTTAACTTTCATGAACAATGCCAAACTTGGTATGGTATGTATTGTAGCAAAAATGCCGTGACATCGCATACAAAAATCTCAATTCATATGAGATTTCCTTATTAGGCAATTGTTGGCGCTGGAGGTGCCGGAAAAACTGCAAAATTACCCTTTTGGGATGCGAAAATGGCAAACCCGGCATGACATGCGAAGTTTTTTCGTATAATATGCCGAGTGTGACATGTGACATTCGAAACGAGTAAAATACTACAGTATGTCAACTAGAGTATTTCAAACCCTACTGTCCATGAATCTTATACTAGCAGACATAAATCAAACGGCCAAAAGTTATCTCAGAAATGTCCGCAAAAAGGTGAGTTTGGGTCTCCCCAGTCATATTGGCTCAGTGACTGTATTTTGAAAAGAGGACTGGAGAGGAAATAGGATCAAATTGCACTTGCTACTGAAAGATGATCAAATACTTGAAAGGTCTGATCAGTCAACATTTCAAATGATATAATGTGAAAGAGATGAAACAATTAGCTATACATTTGTATACAACTAATTTTTCCACTTGACCCCAGTAAATAATATAATAGTAGCATTGACTCAGACTGTTTTGCCTGAAGTTGAGTTTGCTAAATTTTTGAGACACGAGTACAGACTTGCGTGAGGAGCATGCTGGAGGCAGCACGGGAGAGGCACGTAAGCAGCGAGTATCTTGAGGGTGAGTTCGCAAGGCAAGCCGGGGAACAGAGCCGGACGAGAAATGTCCATCGTGGACGATGACAAGCAGGGTGTCACGGCGGGTCACACAGTGATCGCGTAATTTTCTTTTTGCTCTTCCCTTCATCTTGGTTACACTACTGCGACGATGCCGGCCCGGAGGAGCACGCGCACGCGCAAGGTGTCGGGTTCGCCCGCGTCCTCTCCGCCACCTGTAGCATCTTCGCCGCCCGCTGCAGTCGACATTGACGACGATGACGATGAAAATGAGGGATATGAAGACGAGGATGAGGAGTTTGGGGAGGGGTCGGGCGCTGGCGAAGATGAGGACAGTGAGGGCGAGGGAGATGGAGAACCCGCAAGTGGCGACGACGAACCGCCCCCTGCCAAAAATGGAGACGGGGAAGATTCTGAAGATGAGGACAGCGATGACGACGACGCGCCGCCCGTGGCTGTCCCACACTCGCAAGCGAAGAAGGCGGCGCGCGGTGTACAGCAGCGCGTAGAAGAGGCCAGGGCGGAGGTCAACCGCGCGGCGAAGGCGAAAGCGCAAGCAAGGCAAAAGGGCGGGAAGGGGAAGAAAGAGGCGGAAATGGTCGGGAGCGACGTGGACAGCGATGCTGAGATGGAGGAAAGGATGGAGCGGGCGATGAGGGAGGCGCGGGCGGAGCTGGGGAGCGATTCCGAGGGAGAGAGTGAGGAGGAGGATGTCGAGATGGAATCGGGCAGCGAGGAGGACAGCGATGAAGACGAGGATGAAGAAATGTCGGACATCCCCACCCCTCCCCCGCCCAAACAAAAAGCCGTCTCCGCCTCCAAAAACCACCTCCCAGACCATCTCTTCGCCTCTGCATTCGCTACCCCCGCCCCCGCAAAAGCGCCCGCCCCCAAAACTGCCCCGGCCCCGCCGACCAAGAAGCGCAAACGCTCGAAAAAGGAGCTCGTCGTCGGGTGCGTGGCCTCCTCTTTTCCATCCGCGGTGCTAATACTCTGTTTTCAGCTCGCGCACGATCCGCGTCGACGCTGCACACACTACGCCCTCTGCCCTGCCTTCGAAGAAGATCCGCAAGTTCACCGACCGTGCACTCGGCTTCAACGTCAAGACCGCCGATGCGAAGACGAAGGGGAAGAAGGCACGCAGGACGGAGTGGCAGCGCTTACCAGGTGCGTGGTTCTCCCCGTTGAAGACCAGGTTTCCTTATGTTTGTTGGGGGGCAGCTGCGATTGGCGTGTTGAGAGGTCATAGGGTGGATGGCGGTGGGCGGCCGGCGGCGCGGTTCGTGCGCAACGCGTGATGGGTGCGAGTCATACTCGGGTGGAGCAATGTGTGGTACAGTCTGCGGTACTGGCTGACAATGAATCTATCTCAATTCTGAACACTGAACCTGTTAGGACAGCGCGCCTTGAGTTGAGTTCCTGACTTGCACTGCGATTTTCTTCTGAATTAAATGGCCACTGGCAAAAAGTCTCGCCACTTTTGGAACCTGCGCATTCAATCCCTACATACGGGCCAAACAGCAGCTGATCTGCCATCGACTTCGGATTCATTTCTCCTCCGACATTCCCCGTGCAGATGAGCCGCAGTTCCAGCCGCGCCGTGCGGTAAGCGCGCCTTACGCCGTCACGATCACCGTCGAAGACGCCGTGCCACAATGTCAGCCGCCTTACACACTTCACTACCTGGGCGGCCCAACATGTCATCGGCGTATTTCCGCGTCTCTCAGGCTCCAGTATGCACGTCCCGGCTGGCAACTGCGCAGGCGACGCGTCACTGCGGCCATCAGGGTGTCTGAACGTGTCGGCGCTGGCGGAGGATAGCGATCTATTTGCTGCTCTGGCCCACTGGCAGTATGCACACATATATAAGTGAGGGCCGACAGCAGCCTGGAAGAACTCAAATCTACAGAAACCTGAACAACGATGGAAACCGAACCGCAAGTGCTCATCGTGCGTTCATCTCAGGGCCCGGGAATTGGCCAAACAGTAGCTCAGCGTTCTGCAGGCCGGCGCGGGCCCCTCCGGGCTCGTGCTTGCGCTCATCCTCCGGCGCAGCGGCGTGCACGTGCGGATCATCGACAAGGAGCCGGCTTACCGCCCCGGGAGCCGCGGCTCGGGCGTGCAGGCGCGCACGCTCGAGCTCTACGCCCAGCTCGGCCTCTACCCCCAGATCGCGGCGTGCGGCGCGGAGATCCCGAACATCGCGCTGTACAAGCCGGGCAAGGAGAATCTGACGCCGCAGAAGGAGTTCAGGCTGACAGAGCGGGCGGAGGCGACGCCGGGGATGCCATACGTGAGGATTTATATTCTTAAGAGGGAACATTGATGGATTTGACAGCCGAACGCGATAAACATCCCGCAAGACGCGCACGAGGCGGTGCTGCGCGGTGCGCTCGCGGAGCTGGGCTGCACCGTCGAGCTCGGTGTGGAGCTGACCAAGTTTAGTCAGCACTCCGACGGTGTCCGCGCCACGCTCAAACACGCCGACGGCACGGAAGAAGTTGCCGAGGCCGCGTGGCTGGTCGGCGCGGACGGCGCACACAGTGTCGTGCGCAAAGGCCTGGGGCTGAATTTCCTCGGCGAGACGCACGAGGAGCAGGAGATGTTGATTGGTGATATTGAGGTCGAGGGCGTCACGCCGGGGGTAACATCTTTCTGCCTTCGCTTTCTTGAAGTTGCTGATATTTCATAGCTGTGGCACATGTGGGCCGACCCGCCGCGCACGATGGTCCTTCGCAGCGCGACGCCCGACTCCAACCTCTTCATGTTCGCGTACGTCCCCGGCACGCCCGGCGCGGTGCAGCACGCCGGGCCGTTCACCCGGGACGAGTTCGTCGAGACGTTTTATGAGGTCACACAGCGCACGGACATCACGTTCGGGAAGGCGACGTGGCTGTCGCGCTATCGGCCGAACATGCGCATGGTCGATCAGATGCGGGCGGGCCGCGTGTTCGTCGCTGGCGGTGCGCCTTCCCGTATTCCTTGACTGTTCTGTTTTCGGTTAATCATTTCGCTTTTTAGATGCTGCACACTGTCACAGCCCTGCTGGTGGTCAAGGCCTCAACTCGAGCGTGCAAGACGCGGCGAACCTCGCGTGGAAGCTTGCGCTCGTGATCAACCACCATGCCCCCGATGCGCTGCTGGACACATACGCCGAGGAGCGCCTCCGCGTGATCGCGCAGATGTTACAACTCACAACTGCCTTGTACAACTCCACGTTTGACGCGCTCCGGGTGCGTGCATATATATTGTGGTCGACCCCTTGTTCTTCCGCTGATGTGTTCTTCTAGTTGAAGCAGCAGCTCGATGGGGACGCAGGCGCCGAGGATGCACCGATGGGCACGGACAGGAACGGCGCAGGGCTATCCATGCTCGGCGTGAACTACTCCGGGAGCTCCATCATCGCGGAGAACAACAACGCCGGCCCGGCCCCAGCGTATGCACCGGGCTTCGCAGAGACAGGCGTCCGGGCCGCGTACCGTGCGCCGGATGCCCCGGGGCTGGTGGCTGTTTACCCAATGAAGAAGGAGACGAGCCTTTTCGAGGTGTTCGACGTCGCCCTGCACACCGTCCTGCTCTTCGGCGGTGCTGCCTCCAAGTTCTCCCGTCTGCTTCAAGGGTGACCGGTGGGGACAACACAGATGGTGCAGATTCTTCCCGCCTCTGTTGGCACTTCTTCTCACTGGGGGCATTACCTAAGGCGTGCTGGAACACGCGGGCCGGCCGCAGAGCTCACCGCATACCTACCGCGGGCTTGCTCAGTGACAACTTTCTTTGTCCTAGGACAAAGAAATTCTTTGTTTCTGGGTCCGCGCTAGCAACGCGGCTGGCCCGCGGTAGGTACGAGGTCAGCCACGCGTTTGACCCGCGTGTTCCGGCAAGCCGTAGGCTGTGCCCCTAGTGTCTCTCAAAGCGGAGGGCGTAGACATCGTCACGGTGCTGCAGGATGCGCGGGGTCATGCGTACACCGGCTACGGCGTCGATGTGGGTGAGACTGTTGTCGTAGTCGTGCGTCCCGATGGCGTCGTCGGCGTGGTGCAGCGCGGGAGCGCGGAGGAAGCGGTCGCAGACGTGCCAGAGTATTTCGCAAAGATCTTCGGGTGAAAGATTGAGTACTATAATACATGGTTCAGCCTCTTGCTAATTGGGAGCGGATGAAACGCACCTTGTCGGCGAAGTCACTGATCGCGAGGGACTCCCTGGCGCTTCACCCGCGGCCCAGCGCAAAGAGCCCAGCCTGAGGCAACGAACTTGAAGCCAGCCCTGCAACCTGGCAAGCTGCGCCCCTGTGACGAGTACAACGCGGACACCGTGCTGATGGCGGGGTGTACTACAAGGCGTGGCCAGGCTCCAGGACGCCGTCATTGACTTCCTCGATTTGGAGAACAACGACACAAAGGCGCAGTGCCCCCGGTATTTGATGGAGGTCGGACCAGGCGGTGGTGGTGTCGCGCAGAGGCGAGGGCATGCAGCGGGAGCTGTTCAGCGCACGAGCGGGCGACCTCGACGATGGATTGAGCGGGGCATAAGATGGCCTGGGCGCTCTGAGTCAACACCACACAGCGGTTAATGCGCAAGAGCGGGTGGTGGTTGATGAAAAAGAAGCGGTGACAAGAATCCGGCATGCGGCGCCGAGGGCCGAGGCGGATTCCCACACAGCCTCAAGAAGTTTTCCTTCACCACACACCACACCGAACGCGCTTGCCAGTCTCACTCTCCCTCGACGGCAAGACGGCTCCAAAGCCAGCCGGGGCTGGGGGCCCCTCCTGCGGACTTCCCTTCCGTTTCTGCTGCCCTCTTCACGGCCCCGGACGACCCCGACTTGCTTAAAAACCTTTTCAATGCACACTACAGAAGACTCTGGCGTTGCGCTTACCTCTGGCGCCAATTGGGGCCCCTCCTGCCGACTCCCTTTCGCTCCCGCTGCCCTCCTCACGGCCCCGGACGACTCGCCCCGGCCTGCTCAATCCTTTTCAACGCGCTCGAACGAAGACACTAGGCGGCAACGCGGACGATACACTCGCCACTGTAGCTGGTGGAGAGTTCTGGGCGCACCTTCTGCCACCGCGCGCCATCGCGACGGTGGATCGACGGGAAAATGGACAGGCACCACGCGCCACACTCTGTCGTCCTTCGTGTGGCTTGCGCAACGATCTGCCGGTTGGATCTGGGCTGGCGCCAGGCGCGACGCTGGCCAAATCTTGGCAGTTTCGGCCACGATTGGTCCCGAGGTGCGCCTGGGACACATCCCAGATGTCTCGACGCGTTTCGGCGGTCTGCATCGGCCGCGCTCGAGCTCGCTGTCGACAGTGGTCTGCACAAGATCGGTGAGCGCCGAGCTCAATTCCGGTCCGTTCGGGCTGAATTTCTCAGCGCAGGCAGAGCGAACGCGGCCGTCCAGCCGCTGAAGTTTTCAAGACAAGCGGGCCAACGGCTGGCCCTGCGCTCGCCGATCTCTGGTGCGCGAAACTCGGGGCGGGTCGGCCGCGTTCTCACGCGTCCGGCCCAGGACCTTCAGGATGAGACGGGGCAATATGCCCCTCTATCCCCAGCGAGTTTCACGCGGGACGACTGCGGGCTTGGGTCAGCGCTGCCCGGCCAGGACTTTCCGCGGCCAGCGACGTTCCGCTGCCCTCGAACGAAAAAGGATTCTGGTCCTCCAGGGGCGGCGTACACGTCAAGAGAGACTCGCGAGACACATCCTAGATGCTCTCGATCCGTCTCCGCGGGCTATGTACTCCGCGTTCGCTGTGGACCGCGTTGTGCACACGATCGGTGAGCGCCGAGATCATTTCCGGCTCGTCCTGGCTCAAATCCTTAACGCAGACAGCGTTGGCTTGCTTCTTCAACTTCTCAAAGTTTGGAAGCGAACAGGCCAGCGGCTGGCCCTCCGCTCGCCGATCTCCGTTGCGCGAAACTCGAGCCTGGCGAGCCGAGTCCTCGCTCGTTCGGCCTGGCGCTTTCAGGGTGCGAAAGAGTGGTAATCCCCTCCAGATGCCGTGAATTTCAAACGACACAAGCCACTGTCTGGGTCTGCGCGGTCCTCCCGCTGTCTTCCGAGGCCAGGGGCGTTCCGGCCCGCATCGCGGCCGTTCGGCGTGGAAACTTGCGCCCGGACAGCGAGCATACGCCCGCCCATCTCCTGGGAATCGCAAGCGGAACGACGCCCTCGTCTTGCCGCAGCGCCGAAGTGAGTCCATCCAGCCCTTTTGCTGAATTTCACTCATGTATCGCACCAGCCAGCTCTCGCACAAGTCAAGCCCGACGTGCCCTGCGCGTTCTGCTTGCAAACAGCCGCCATTAGTACGCGCTTATTGCCGCGGGAGGTGTGGGGATGTCGTCTCATTGTAGGTTTTTTCAGATATTACCTCACTGCTCAGTCAATTTGCAGCCCGCAAATGCAACGAGGTGGCCACAGCGCTGTCGTCAAAGCCAATCCCCGAAGTACTTCCTTTACCGCGGCCCTTGACGAAGCTGGCACGGTGGCGATACTGCCGGGCTGGCTCGTAGTCGGCACCGCCGTGTATAAGTCTTCTGGCTCATCACAAACAGCATACTGACTGTCGTCGCAGCTCCCCGCGGTGTTGTTGCACGCGGTAATTATGTGCGCGACCGACCTTTGGAGGATTTGCAGAATGCGGGTGAGCTGCTTTCCGCACCGCATTCGAGTTGACTGCCAGTGAGAGTTGGTGACCGTGCCGGCCAGTCTTGCGGCACCGGCGGGCAGGTCTACAGAGCGGGTCTGGGACTAATACTAGGGTGGCACCAGTGCCGGGAGGAAGTCAGCAGCCCATCCGAGCCAAGTGCTCTTCTGCACCGACCGTGGAAAAAATATTATCTGCATGTAATTCACTTCTTCAACTGAATAATATCTGAACATATGAACCAGACTACACAATCTGTCATTGAAACTGTAGCCAAAACATTACATGCACCTAAGCTGATAATATATAATCGATGAACATCAGCTAAAATATTGAATTGAACCATTCATCCAATAAACATATCCTACACCGCCAACGGGTTTCCGGCTGTGACACAGCCGGAAAACTCCCGGTGGATACATCTGATGCCCAGCTGATTCCCGGATCAGTGCCACATATCCTAGACTATATGCATAGAAAAATGAACAATGGATGAAATAAATGAATAGATAGTTGATTACGTAATCACAGAACTAGCCTAAATCTCACTCTTGTCTATGATCCTTGTACTTAGGCCTATACCACATGGCCTCTAATAATCTTGCACAGGACACAGACTATAAACACAGAGATTGCGCTGAACTGTATAGCATAAGTCAGAAGATGTATCCAATCTTGATTGAGTGACCTCCATTTTTCTTTTTGATCTTCATTCAATTAAAGGCAATTTTGAACTTGTACAAATAGTTAATAGAAATATTACAGGAATAGAACTCAAGGGAAACAGAAAAATAACAAATTATATAGATATATCACTCCGACATCCCATCAACTCAGTCCTTCATTGGGCATGAGAATGCTAAGTTTGTGGCCTTGATTTTTGGAAAGGGAGGTCCTAGCAGACAAGACTTGTCCTTCACTATAGATCATTTTTAGTGCTACTTGCCATATGATTAAAACAAAAATTCACATGCAACACAGCTTACATAATCATCCAATATATATATATATATATATATTACAATTAACACAAGTCAAGATAGTTAAATTGGCAATAGAAATGCATAGAAAATAAAGCAGGGGAAATCATATTATATAAGCAAATATGATTATCTCCTCAAGGATTTTTGCACTTAGCATAGAAAAAGTGAAAGCCTGAACCTGATAATAATGAAGCCTTATCACTTTGGTGAATAAAACTGGACTTGTCGGAAAGAGAATAAATAATGACTTGGATGAAAAAAATTATATCTATAAGTCTCACTTCATTAGGTGTTCAGCCCCAAATTGTCCCAGTGGTTCAGCAGGCTGGTGTGGATGGCTTGAAAGTATCTAATGTAAATTTTATTTACAGAGTAAAATCATATGTATTGAAAGATCCAAAATCTTTCAGTTATAGTTCAGGTGACGTCAGCGTGGCTTCTGTACCCACACCTGCCAAAGCGGGCCTGGGACATCGGCAGGAACGGGTACAGGCCATGTATGAAATGTGCTTATGTAAGCAATGCAATTAAGGATTCTATTTTATTTCATAACATGTGGTGTGTCACATCAAGAAAAGAGTTTAATCCAGTGATAGTTTTGAACTTGACTTGACTAAATTCATCTTGTTTAAAATGTGTGCTTACATAAGCATCAGCTTTAAAAAAGCCTTTATTGCAGCCTTCTGAGGCGAGGCTCACACCAAGATCATGCAGCAGAAGATGGAAAGCCATATTCAAACCAAAGACATGGATGCAACTAGCTGTTTTGCCATCCTTGACTAGTTGACGACATCAACGTTATCTGCATCGCCAAGAACGGGATGCTTCAGGCCGTTATGAACATGGTCTACCGAAAAGATACTCTCCCCATACCTACGAAGCCTGGAAGGCGGAATCCATCAAATAGGACAGTGTACTTTGCCACTTCCAGTTCCACATCTTCACCCCAACGGCTCCCGCCCTTGCTAAAAGTAGATTCAGTAATCGTAACCCATTCAACAGATGGGCCCGAAACACAGGCATTAGCGCCACCGGATCGACCATGGCGGTACCCCTGAGGAGATCGAGATCGATTGGGCCCAAGCCCCGGCAATGGCCCGCAGCACTTGCTGCTACAACGATGGCCAGTGCCAAGAGACTTTTGGCCCAGATCCGGCACCAACCTGACAAGGCGCATGCAAAATTGCAACAATGGATCCGCCTGGCACGTCAGGCCGAGAATGGGCCCGAACTTGAAGAGTTTGTGCAAACTGGGTACACCCCCAATGTGGCCAAAGCGCTACAACAACTCCAAGATGCCTCATCCTTTTGCAAGAGCAAAGGCACCACTGCCACCCGTGTGGCCATCACTCTCCAAGGGATTAACCATCTCCGAGGATACTTGGTCAAGGCACTACTCGATAGTAATGTCACATCCGAGTTTATGCAAAAATGTTTCGCAGAGGATTCCCAGTTGGAATTGGAAGTCCTGCCGCACCCCGTTCCAGTGTACAATGCTGACGGGGCTATCATGCACATCACCCACCTCCGGGTCACCTTTCAGGATCATTCTGAACTTCTCATGTTTGCCATCACGGACACCAGGAACAGTGATGTTAAACAAATTACGTAATGCCTAGTAGTTCACCAAGCTCGACCTACGATGGGGGTACAACTATATATGGATAAAAGAAGGCAACAAAGAGAAGGCTGTGTTCAGCACTCAACGGGGCCTGTTCGAACCACTTATGATGGCCTTATGAACTCTCCGGCCACGTTCCAATCAATGATGAACAAACTGTTCTCCAACTTGATCATGTTTGGATGATATTCTCATCTACTCCAGCAACCTCGCCGAACATTGAACCATGGTTAAGGAAGTTTTGCAGATCCTGAAGGACAATCATTCAAACAGAACAAGGTCAAGTATCTCAGGGTGATTGTCGGAAACAGGCAACTACAAATGGACCTGATTGCTTAGGTATGAGAATGTCAAGTTGATTTTCTTGATTTTGAAGATTTGTAGTTCACCTAGTAGGGAATACTAGTTCACATCCTCACTTAAATAGAAACTCGTGTAATCAATCAAAGAGATTTGCAGTATGCATTCAAACAGAATATCAAGTTCAGAAACCAGGCTGACCAGATGCCATAGTTATCAGACAGTTTTCTTGTGGTATTGACTTTAAATTAGTAGGGAAACATGTAGTTGGCTGGTTGAATACCAATTTGTAGCACCATTGAATACATACTTGAAGCATCACAAACAGATAAGAAGTTCATATAACTATAGGGGAGTTATATGCAGTAGAGGTTTAAAAGATCTAACTAAGTATGTAAAGCACCAAGTGGCATTTCATATTCAATAACCAAGCTTCACTAAAAAACATGTGAGTCAGTAGCAGCATGCAAAATTTGGCTTGAAGACTAGATATTATAGTCAATAAGACCACTTACTTTCATTCATTATAAAGTAGCCTGTGATTAACCCAGTTTTGGATTGGAACTGTCAGTAGCTATTAAGGATGTCAATTGTGTAGTATTGGAATTCCAAGCAGACCATATTGCTACAAAGTTGCTGGTTAAGCTTGGTCTAAGTGTAGGCCAAAGTAAAATCTATGAGACACTTGGTGGAGAATACAATACCACTTCAAATCATAAAATATGATACCTGCTTGACCATCCTTGAAGTATACCAAACAAACAAGTAAAGCTATATTGAGAAGCTTTTTAATGATATTTCAACCAACAGGAATTGACTGAGTTATACAACTGGCAGTTGCTCAAGGACCGGGTAATAGAGAATTTGAATACCTTTCTGATAGTATATAAATCATCCCAAACGGACAAGAATTGGCCAAGTTATGAGCCTAACACTATTTTACAACTGGGAAAAGTGATGTTCAACTTGGGGTTTGAACCGGCCCTAAAGCGGACTTCCGCGGATTTCCACTCAAAAGACACTCGTGATTTTTAAACTTTGGTGTTTTCTGAGCCAACCATTGAGAATTAGACTTAGGTCCAAACTGAACCAAGTCATTAATTTGTGATATCTACAACTTTCATTATTTGACTATGACCCTAAGGTGGAATTCCGCGGACTTCCACCTGGCAGTTAAGATGTCAGCTAGTAAAGGTCTGTAGTTTTGTATTCAATCATGTTCAAGTTGAAGGATGGTTTGTAGGCCTATTGAATACCTTTCTGGTCATATATGAACTGTCTTCAATGGTTAAGAACTCATTGAGTTATGGCCCTAACACTGTTTTGAAAACTCAGGGGATTTCCACCTGGCAGTTAAGTCAAGGCCTAAAGTGGAAATCCGCGGACTTTCACTCGATTTCCACTCCAAAAGACACTCGTGATTTTTCACTTTTCTGTGTTTTCTGGGCTAACCATTCACAATTAGGCTTAGGTCCAAACTGAACCTAGTATTCAATTTTGAATATCTACAACTTTCACCATTTGAGGCCGGCCCTAAAGTGGAGTCCGCGGAATTCCACCCCAAAAGACACTCGTGATTTTTCACCTTTCTCTGTTTTATAAGCCAACCATTAACAATGAAGCTTAGGTCAAAACTGAACCTAGTGTTCAAATAGTGATATCTACAGGCTCACAAAGTATGAAGTCATTCTGCCTGCCCTAAAGTGCTGGCAGTTAATTACTTCCAAGTCTTAGTTCAATTAACAATCAGGCTTAGGGCCCAGTAAGGTTGCTGGCCCTAAAGTTCTGGCAGTTAATTACTTTAGGGCCAGTCTTATATATTTTATATTTTATGGAGCTGGCCCTAGAGTCTATATTATTTTATACTAAGTCATTTATGGGGCCGGCCCTAAAGCGCGGGAAAAAAAGAAAAAAAAATACCCATAGTACAGAAAGAGAAGCCAACATAAGTTGTGAATGCAGGAAGAGTACAATCAACCAGATGATCCACTTGAAGCAGAAGACTTTTGTTATTCTGACTTTTTTAGCAGTTTTACTGAGTTGCCAATCAGGTGTAGTGGCTGTATGGGAGTTCACTACTCTCCCAACAGCTTAGTGGCAGTCTTAAGGAAGACTGCCAGACCAAAGAAAATGCCACAACCAAAAAGACAGCTACTAGCAAACCACTGACAAACACACTATGACCAACAGGTTGAGCTCAGCTCGGAAGGTGTTGAACCAACCTCGCTACCCGCAGGCTTACCATAGCATATCCTATCTCCGCCAATTTAATGAAGCACAGACCAGACTGATCCACTTTCACTGTCTCCCCCCCAGAACCCACAATAGGAAGAGCAGGGTCATTGAAGCCAAGCTACTCTTCCATATATAAGGCAGGCCCACCCCCCAGCCCACCCCAAGTCCAAATCGCGCAGAGGCGTGAAAAGCGCTGTCCACAATTTTGCGCACACGGAGTCCGCCCCAAGTCCGCACATACAGGTCGTGTGGGTTCAACTCGGGCACAACACAAATATTATTTCTTTTTTACAGAAATGCTATTTACGCAAGCCACACATATACGCCGTCACGGTTCTCGCGCAGTTGATCACCGTCGAAGATGCCGTGCCACAATGTCAGCCGCCTTACACACTTCACTACCTGGGCGGCCCAACATGTCATCGGCGTATTTCCGCGTCTCTCAGGCTCCAGTATGCACGTCCCGGCTGGCAACTGCGCAGGCGACGCGTCGCTGCGGCCATCAGGGTGTCTGAACGTGTCGGCGCTGGTGAAGGATAGCGATCTATTTGCTGCTCTGGCCCACCGGCAGTATGCACACATATATAAGTGAGGGCCGACAGCAGCCTGGAAGAACTCAAATCTACAGAAACCTGAACAACGATGGAAACCGAACCGCAAGTGCTCATCGTGCGTTCATCTCAGGGTCCGGGAATTGGCCAAACAGTAACTCAGCGTTCTGCAGGCCGGCGCGGGCCCCTCCGGGCTCGTGCTTGCGCTCATCCTCCGGCGCAGCGGCGTGCACGTGCGGATCATCGACAAGGAGCCGGCTTACCGCCCCGGGAGCCGCGGCTCGGGCGTGCAGGCGCGCACGCTCGAGCTCTACGCCCAGCTCGGCCTATACCAAGAAATCGCCGCTTGCGGGGCGGAGATCCCGAACATCGCCCTGTACAAGCCGGGCAAGGAAAATCTGACGCCGCAGAAGGAGTTCAGGCTGACGGAGCGGGCAGAGGCGACGCCGGGGATGCCATACGTGAGGATTTATATTCTTAAGAGGGAACATTGATGGATTTGACAGCCGAACGCGATAAACATCCCGCAAGACGCGCACGAGGCGGTGCTGCGCGGTGCGCTCGCGGAGCTGGGCTGCACCGTCGAGCTCGGTGTGGAGCTGACCAAGTTTAGTCAGCACTCCGACGGTGTCCGCGCCACGCTCAAACATGCCGACGGCGCGGAAGAGATCGCCGAGACGGGGTGGCTAATCGGCGCGGACGGCGCACACAGTGTCGTGCGCAAGGGCCTGGGGCTGAATTTCCTGGGTGAGACACACGAGGAGCAGGAGATGTTGATTGGGGATATCGAGGTCGACGGTGTGTCTCCCGGGGTAAGTTTCGTGCTTTCCTTTGGCGCTAACTAACTTATTTTTATAGTTGTGGCACATGTGGGCCGACCCGCCGCGCACGATGGTCCTCCGCAGCGCGACGCCCGACTCCAACCTCTTCATGTTCGCATATGTCCCCGGCACGCCCGGCGCGGTGCAGCACGCCGGGCCGTTCACCCGGGACGAGTTCGTCGAGACGTTTTATGAGGTCACACAGCGCACGGACATCACGTTCGGGAAGGCGACGTGGCTGTCGCGCTATCGGCCGAACATGCGCATGGTGGATCAGATGCGGGCGGGCCGCGTGTTCGTCGCAGGGGGTGCGCCATGCCAGAATCCCCCTTATCTGACTGATGATTTAGATGCTGCACACTGTCATAGCCCTGCTGGAGGCCAAGGCCTCAACTCGAGTGTTCAAGACGCGGCGAACCTCGCGTGGAAGCTTGCGCTCGTGATCAACCACCATGCCCCCGATGCGCTGCTCGACACATACGCCGAGGAGCGCCTCCGCGTGATCGCGCAGATGTTACAACTCACAACTGCCTTGTACAACTCCACGTTTGACGCGCTCCGGGTGCGTGGATATATATTGTGGTCGACCCCTTGTTCTTCCGCTGATGTGTTCTTCTAGTTGAAGCAGCAGCTCGACGCGGACGGCACCGAGGATGCTCCGATGGGCACGGACAGGAACGGCGCAGGGCTATCGATGCTCGGCGTGAACTACTCGGGGAGCTCGATCATCGCCGAGGACAACGACGCCGGCCCCCCCCCCGGCGTACGCGCCGGGCTTCGCAGAGACCGGCGTCCGGGCCGCGTACCGCGCGCCAGATGCCCCGGGGCTGGTGGCTGTTTACCCAATGAAGAAGGAGACGAGCCTTTTCGAGGTGTTCGACGTCGCCCTGCACACCGTCCTCCTCTTCGGCGGTGCTGCCTCCAAGTTCTCCCGTCTGCTTCAAGGGTTACCGGTGGGGACAACACAGATGGTGCAGATTCTTCCCGCCTCTGTTGACACTTCTTCTCTCAAAGCGGATGGCGTGGATATTGTGCTGCACGACGCGCGGGGTCACGCGTACGCCGGGTACGGCGTCGAGGCAGGTGAGACGGTGGTCGTGGTTGTGCGCCCCGATGGTGTCGTTGGCATGGTGCAGCGTGGGAGCGCGGAGGAAGCGGTCGCAGACGTGCCAGAGTATTTCGCAAAGATCTTCGGGTGAAAGATTGAGTACTATAATACATGGTTCAGCCTCTTGCTAATTGGGAGCGGATGAAACGCACCTTGTCGGCGAAGTCACTGATCGCGAGGGACTCCCTGGCGCTTCACCCGCGGCCCAGCGCAAAGAGCCCAGGCAACGAACTTGAAGCCAGCCCTGCAATCTGGCAAGCTGACGAGTACAACGCGGACACCGTGCTGATGGCGGGGTGTACTACAAGGCGTGGCCAGGCTCCAGCACGCCGTCATTGACTTCCTCGATTTGGAGAACAACGACACAAAGGCGCAGTGCCCCCGGTATTTGATGGAGGACCAGGCGGTGGTGGTGTCGCGCAGAGGCGAGGGCATGCAGCGGGAGCTGTTCAGCGCACGGGCGGGCGACCTCGACGATGGATTGAGCGGGGCATAAGATGGCCTGGGCGCACTGAGTCAACAGCACACAGCGGTTAATGCGCAAGAGCGGGTGGTGGTTGATGAAAAAGAAGCGGTGACAAGAATCCGGCATGCAGCGCCGAGGGCCGGGGCGGATTCCCACACAGCCTCAAGAAGTTTTCCTTCACCACACACCACACCGAACGCGCTTGCCAGTCTCACTCTCCCTCGACGGCAAGACGGCTCCAAAGCCAGCCGGGGCCGGGGGCCCCTCCTGCCGACTTCCCTTCCGTTTCTGCCGCCCTCTTCACGGCCCCGGACGACCCCGACTTGCTTAAAAACCTTTTCAATGCACACTACAGAAGACTCTGGCGTTGCGCTTACCTCTGGCGCCAACTGGGCCCCTCCTGCCGACTCCCTTTCGCTCCCGCTGCCCTCCTCACGGCCCCGGACGACTCGCCCCGGCCTGCTCAATCCTGTTCAACGCGCTCGAACGAAGACACTAGGCGGCAACGCGGACGATACACTCGCCACTGTAGCTGGTGGAGAGTTCTGGGCGCACCTTCTGCCACCGCGCGCCATCGCGACGGTGGATCGGCGGGAAAATGGACACGCGCAAGGCGCCACACTCTGTCGTCCTTCGTGTGGCCTTGCGCGCCGATCTGCCGGTTGGATCTGGGCTGGCGCCAGGCGCGACGCTGGCCAAATCTTGGCAGTTTCGGCCACGATTGGTCCCGAGGTGCGCCTGGGACACATCCCAGATGTCTCGACGCGTTTCGGGGGCTGTGTAGGGCCGCGCTCGCTGTCGACAGTGGTCTGCACAAGATCGGTGAGCGCCGAGCTCAATTCTGGTCCGTTCGGGCTGAATTTCTCAGCGCAGGCAGAGCGCACGCGGCCGTCTAGCCGCTGAAGTTTTCAAGACAAGCGGGCGAACGGCTGGCCCTGCGCTCGCCGATCTCTGCTGTGCGAAACTCGGGGCCGGTCGGCCGCGTTCTCACGCGTCCGGCCCAGGACCTTCAGGATGAGACGGGGCAATATGCCCCTCTATCCCCAGCGAGTTTCACGCGGGACGACTGCGGGCTTGGGTCAGCGCTGCGGCGCCGCTGCCCGGCCGGGCCTTTCCGAGGCCGATGGCGGTTCTCGGCCGTCTCTGGGCCGCTGCCCTTGAAATGGCGCGCGCGAGTAGCTGCGTGGCGAACGCCCACCTCCAGGCGAAACGACCGCGTCGTTGTTGAGCACCGAAGCGTCGCTCTAGGGCCGATGCTTCGGCGCCACTGTCTCGAGGACAGCGGGTGGCCCTTTGCCCCGATTCGGTTGAGATTTACAGCAGAGGCGGGGGCAATATGCCCCCCACTGTTGATAAAATCTAGGGCGAAACGGAGCAGCGACTGTCCCGCGCGGCCGGGGGCGGTCTTGGCTCAAGTCTTCAACGCGGGCAGAGTCAACCTGTCCTCAAACTCCTCAAACGGGCCGCGTTCTCGCTCGCTCGGCCTGGTGCTTTCAGGGCGAGGAGAAGTGGTAACTTCCTCCACATTCTGTGGATCTCAAACGACACAAGCCACTGTCTAGTATCTACGTCTGCGCGGTCCTCCCGCTGTCTTCCGAGGCCAGGGGCGCTCCGGCCCGCATCGCGGCCGTTCGGCGTGGAAACTTGCGCCCGGACAGCGAGCATATGCCTGCCCATCTCCTGGGAATCGCAAGCGGAACGACGCCCTCGTCTTGCCGCAGCGCCGAAGTGAGTCCATCCAGCCCTTTTGCTGAATTTCACTCATGTATCGCACCAGCCAGCTCTCGCACAAGTCAAGCCCGACGTGCCCTGCGCGTTCTGCTTGCAAACAGCCGCCATTAGTACCCGCTTACTGCCGCGGGAGGCATGGGATGTCGTCTCATTGTAGGTGTTTTCGGATTTCCGATACTACCCTCACCGCTCAGTGCTCAACCGTTAATTCAGAGCCCGCAAATGCAACATTGCGAGCTGGGCCACAGCGCTGTCGTCGAGGACAACCCCCCGAAGTACTTCCTTTACCGTGGCCGTTGATGAAACTGGCACGGTGGCGATACTGCCGGGCTGGCTCGTATTCGGCACCGCCGTGTATACCAAGTCTTGGCTCATCGCAAACAGCATACTGACTGCCTTCGCAGCTCCCCGCGGTGTTGTTGCGCGCGGTAATTATGTGCGCGACCGACCTTTGGAGGAGTTGCAGAATGCGGGTGAGCTGCTTTCCACACCGCATTCGAGTTGTGGGCAGGCAGGTCCGCAGAGCGGGTCCGGGACTAAGACTGGGGTGGCACCAATGCCGGGAGGAAGTCAGCGGCCCATCCGAGCCAAGCGCTCTCCTGCACCGACCGCAAAAAAAATATTATCTACATGTAATTCCCTTATTCAACTGAATAATATCTGAACATATGAACCAGACTACACAATGTGTCGTTGAAACTGTAGCCAAAACATTACATGCACGTAAGCTGATAATATATAATCAATGAACATAAGCTAAAATATTGAATTGAACCATTCATCCAATAAACATATATGCATAGAAAAAATGAACAATGGATGAAATAAATGAATAGATAGTTGATTCCGTAATCACAGAACTAGCTCAAATCTGACTCTTGTCTATGATCCTTGTACTTAGGCCTATACCACATGGATCTTGCACAGGATGCAGACTATAAACACAGAGATTGCGCTGAACTGTATAGCATAAGTCAGAAGATCTGATGTAGACTGATGCTTACATAATCACTATTAGCCACTATCTAATCTTGATTGAGTGGCGTCCATTTTTCTTTTTGATCTTCATTCAATTAAAGGCAATTTTGAACATGTACAAATAGTTAATTGAAATATTACAGTGATAGAACTTAAGGGAAACAGAAAAAGTAACAAATTATATCGATATATATCACTCTGACATCCCATCAACTCAATCCTCAGTCCTTCATTGGGCATGAGAATGCTAAGTTTGTGGCCTTGATTTTTGGAAAGGGAGGTCCTAGCAGACAACACTTGTTCTTCACTATAGATTATTTTTAGTGCTACTTGCCATATGATTAAATCAAGAATTCACATGCAACACAGCTTACATAATCATCCAATATTACAATTAACACAAGTTAAGATAGTTAAATTGGCAATAGAAATGCATAGAAAATAAATCAGGGGAACACATATTATATAAGCAAATATGATTATCTCCTCAAGAATTTTCATATGATTTTTGAACTTAGCATAGAAAAAGTGAAAGAGTGAACCTGATAATAATGAAGCCTTATCACTTTGATGAATAAAACTGGACTTGTTGGAAAGAGAATAAATAATGACTTGGATGAAAAAAAATTATATCTATAAGTCTCACTTCATTAGGTGTTCAGCCCCAAATTGTCCCAGTGGTTCAGCAGGCTGGTGTGGATGGCTTGAAAGTATCTAATGTAAATTTTATTTACAAAGTAAAATCATATTTATTGAAAGATCCAAAATCTTTCAGTTATAGTTCAGGTGACGTCAGCGTGGCTTCTGTACCCACACCTGCCAAAGCGGGCCTGGGACATCGGCAGGAACGGGTACAGGCCATGTATGAAATGTGCTTATGTAAGCAATGTAATTAAGGATTCTATTTTATTTCATAACATGTGGTGTGTCACATCAAGAAAAGAGTTTAATCCAGTGATAGTTTTGAACTTGACTTGACTAAATTTATCTTGTTTAAAATGTGTGCTTACATAAGCATCAGCTTTGAAAAAGCCTTTATTGCAGCCTTCTGAGGCGAGGCTCACACCGAGATCGTGCAGCAGAAGATGGAAAGCCATATTCAAACCAAAGATATGGATGCAACTAGCTGTTTTGCCATCCTCGACTAGTCGACTACGTCAATATTATCTGCATCGCCAAGAACGGGATGCTTCAGGTCGTTATGAACGTGGTCTACCGAAAAGATACTCTCCCGATACCTATGAAGCCTGGAAGGTGGAAGCCATCAAACAGGATGGTGTACTTTGCCACTTCCACATCTTCGACGAAAGTTACAAGATCAGTCACCCTTGGGCCCAAGCGCCCCAACAGCTCCCGCCCTTGCTAAAAGCGGATTCAGTAATCATAACCCATTCAACAGATGGGCCTGAAACACAGCCATTAGCGCCACTGGATCGACCATGGCGGTACCCCGAGGAAATGGGGTGCCCGCAGCCATCGCACTCCCCACTACTAGGCCAGCCCTGATGAAGATCGATCGGGCCCAAGCCCTGGCAACGGCCCACGGCACTTGGTGCTACAATGATGGCCAGTGCCAAGAGACCTTTGGCCCAGATCCGGGACCAACCTGACAAGGCACGTGCGAAATTGCAACAATGGATCCGCCTGGCCTGTCAGGCCGAGAATGGGCCCAAACTTGAAGAGTTCGTGTAGACTGGGTACACCCCCGATGTGGCCAAAGCGCTACAACAACTCCAAGATGCCCCCATCCCTTTGCAAGAGCAAAGGCACCACTGCCACCCATGTGGCCATCACTCTCCAAGGGATTAACGATCTCCGAGGATACTTGGTCAAGGCACTACTTGATAGTGGTGTCATGTCCGAGTTCATGCACAAATGCTTTGCAGAGGATTCCCAGTTGGAATTGGAAGCCCTGC